TCAGCAGGAGTATTTAATGAATGGAACATCCATCTTTTATTTTAAAAGGCTTAAAAGCTTATACAAGCTGTGCTTTGTTGCAGTAGGCTTTTCTGACGCTAGCTCTCTGCTTGGGAACTTGAGCTAAATCCTGCCTTGTCTTTTGCTATGGTTTCAGAGTTTGCCTCCCTGTTTCTACCTATTTCTATTATTTGAAGTACATTTCTTTCATGTAATGGGAGCATGAGCTTTTTTATTTTGGTGAACTTTAGATTCTGTATAATCTTTCATCCCCTTTGTTTCTCATCCGTAGTTACGACGTACTTGAAAGCTAAGTAACCCAGGTGCCTTTTCTTATATAAAATCTTTTTTTGTAATTACCCGTGTTGATTGTTGTGAAAATTGTAGGTGCGCATAACACAGCTTCATTGTTCTAATTCTGACACATATATAAACTGGTGCTTGCTTCTACAATGGGAGTTTAATATTCAGTAATAGAGAACATTCATCAGAAAACATGAGCTAGGGTGAGGCTTGTCCTCCTGTCTTTTTTTTCCTTCTCTGCTTCAAAAACAGTAATAGAAAATTGAGTTTTATGACCATATAACAGAATTGCACTGATCTTAATGCCAGATGAACACTGCAGACTTCAATAACCAGAATGATATGAATAGAATTAGACATCAAGTAGGTGCTCAGGAGGGAGGGAACGCTCTGCCAGTAGCCACTGGGAATGTATTCAAGTGACATTTCCATTTCATGGGACCTCACTAAGAGCAAATGGGTTGAGGAGACAAATTCCTATCAGGTACATTGCAGCTTCATGAAGGTTTGCATTGCAGCTCTGAAGATTTAAAATCTGAATTTGGTAAAATGAAAATTTAGAAATGTATTTTTCTATTGCAAATCTTCAGCGTAAATGAACCTCCTGTACTTACTGGTATCTGAAACACATACTTCTAGGCTTGGAAAATTCACCAGAAAGCCTCCATCTTTTTCACACCAGAAACAACCAATCAGGACAAATGCATAAAATAACCAGTTTCATATTGCAGCGAAGGTGAAACTGTCTGACTTTAGTTTGGTACTGTGTCTGATGGGTAACTTCTCTGTGTAGGGTATGACATCTGAAATCTATGCAGCTTCTGCATCTCTGCTCTAAGTGCCAATGCTTTTTGCTAGTGCTGCTGCCTCTACTGCTAGTGCCAGTGCAGTGAAATGTGCAAGAGATATTTGAATATTCTGAAACAGTGAATTTCAAGTTGACTGTATTTTTGAAAAGGCTTAATAAACATTAAATGTTGTTCTTTGGCTCTGTCTTCAACTAATGTATGTATAAACAAATCCATGTCCTTGTGCAAAGTTCCATAGGATCCTCATGAATCACAAACAGCAAAGAACTCGCAAAGGGCTCAATTTGATGTCACGTGAAAAAGAGGTACCTCCCACAGCATAGGCCTTAGCCCAGGAGCAGGGTAAAAGGTAAGCAGGGATTATTCACTACCTTTAGAGGTTAATGACGTACTTCAAGTCATCTGCCACTTCGGAACAAATTCAGAACAGAACTTCCATCTTTAAGGCCACTACCACTGGACTTAATTGCTCTCTTACTAAAAAGAGGTAAAACTTCAGGTTTACTATGTGTTTAGATAATTAATATAATCACAGAAGGTACTGGGAAATGCAGGTAGGAAAAATGTATAAAAGGTTTCAGGAACAGAGATTAGCAGTGGGGTCCTTATTAAAGGACTGCACTCACTGTAGTTTGAGTGTGATATTCTTGGGAAGGAAACCGTCCAGTAGGTTTAAGGCTGAAATGAGTAATGTATTCCACAACTGGAAGAGAGACAACAGCTCCATTCCCTGCTGTAAGTTCTTGTATATTTAGAACGAGGAGGAAGATTTATGGAAAGATTTCAAGTTGAAAAATTCTGTTTCATAGTCTTCATGGCCAACAGGGACAAAAATGATCGTTCAGTCTGAACCTTTGCATAATGTAGGGCAAAGAGCGTTGCCTAGTACTTACTGAATCAAGGCAATAATGTCTCATGAGTCTCATGATACCTTTCAGAAAGGTATCTGAAGGCTTCAAATAACGGAGAATCTGCCACAACCCTAAGAAATTACAACTGACTGTGTATTTTTGTTAAATTTTATCACTGTCTAGCTAATCTTACTCAACCTAGTTTTAGCATTCTGCCAGGATATTGTTATGCCTTTTCTGACTAAAGAGTTGATACGGTAGGAAGAGCCTTCTGTGTGCATGTATTAGTAAACTGTTCAAGTTTTTGTTTATTCCTCAGATAAGCTAAATAGGTTTAGCTCTGCTAGTCCTATGCTAAATCATTCTTGAAACTCTTTTGTGAAGCCTTTATTGCTGTGCAACCTCCACTTTGAAAAGTAGACAGTAATCCTGTAAAAATTAATCCCAATAACAGTTTCACACACGCCTCACAGATAATATTTCTTTCTACTTCTGCTTGGTATTGCTGTGCTTAAGCAGCCAAAGACCGTATGTTCTGTCTTAATTTCAAAATTGCTCTGAGAATTCACGTTTAATTGCCTGTCCACAATGATCAAAGTTACGGGAATCCATTTTAAGCAAGAACAAAGAATGCTGATTACATATCTGTATGATCTTTGCATACGCTATTCAACAGCATCTGCCTTGGCAAACACTACTTTCCCTTTTTTGTTTGCAGTTTATTACTTTAAACTGGCAGTGCCCAAAGGCTTGCACTGTATATCTAGATAGAAAAACAGTGACTTCACTGCGAAGAGCATGGTAAAATGCATCATTCCCCTACATACACCACTAGTAACAAGTACAGCTGTTTGTGCTGAGACATCTCAGCACCAGAGAAGAGTAATGAGTTCCGGAGCATGTTTGGAAAAGACACCGTCAAGGACAGCTCTGCCGTAACAACAGGTACACGAGAGAAGTTCAGAAGCAGAAGGATGGGCCTCTCCATGCGCTGGGTTCCAGGAAAGACAGTTGTCAAGCAGGGCTGTAAGACAACAGGTAAAAAAAGACAGCAGGTCCGAGTCTGCGCTCACCCTCAGCTGATGCTCTTTGTAAGTGAATGTAATGTTTTCTGTCTGCCAAGAGAAAACCTTAAATACAGTTTCTTGGTGCAGTCACTCTCTTCTCCATTTTGCGGTGTAGAAGTCCAGACTGATTGAATCAGAGTCCAAGAAGGAGCATGAATATGTAGCCTAATAGATAGTTCAGTCACCAGGGATATGGGGAGAGTGGAGATATGCTGTTCCCAGTTTCGTTGCTGTACTTTATGCAGTTACAATCAATGTAAGATGCATAAGCACTCAGATGGCTGTGATAAGTACAGTGCCTGGGCCATATGGACTCACAAACCATGCACACAAAGTTCTCCGCCACATGAGCTCCTTTATCTGTGGAGGAAGTGTCAGCTTTGTTCTGAATTGTGTGTCCTTTTATAGGGTATAATTTTGTGGCCGGGTAAAGTAAAACACACTTGTCTGGAATCAGTATATACTATAAGTAAGGTATGCACTAAGTGTGTGCCTACGTAAGAACAAACCCTCACTCTATTTCTTCTTGAGTGATTTGTCAGAAAAGCAGCTTCCCTCTCATTGCACCAATATTCAGAGAAGAATCTACAAGCCTTTTGACTGGAGTTCCCCATTTTCCATCCCTAGTCTTTTCCTTTTTCTTGTTCTGTTCTGACATTGAGAAAGCTACCTCTCAAAGTCTGCCTGCACATGCTGTTCTCAGCCGACCCCGTTGCCACTAACCAGCCCCCAGCCACAGCTCAACGTAAAGCTGCTGCAGAGTTCAGCGAGGAAGCCTGCAGTAGGACTACACACCAACGCCGTTTACAGGGGTTTGCAAAAGGCAGGTTAGAAATCTCTTTTTGAAGTAAAACCATGGTTATTTAACTACTAAGGCTGTTTAGCTACTTCCATATGATGCATCACATGCTTTTACATCCAAAATGTAGCAAAGGTTGTTAGCTGCAGCTGGTCTGCCAGTAAGCCAGTGACACTGAAAGGTGTTGCTCTAGTTGTATGCTTAGCTCATAATCGTCATAATACAGTAATGAATGGTTATGTGCGTGTAATAATTACACCTGATTTTATACGGCAATTACCTATACAGTGTTTTGCTTACTGTTACATATGCAATTCAATAGCGTTTATTGTCTTGTGTATTTGCAAGTCTCCTAAGAGGGCGCAGACCCCTTTACTTCACCATCTAAACGTGCTGAACGCAAGCATCTGTGCTGTGTGGCTGTGGCCACCGTCCCTGACTCCAAAGCCACCAGCACGATAACAACTCACCGGCACAACAGCCGGTTCAGTCATTGCGCTGAAGATGGCTCCGAATGCAAAAAATAAGCCTGTTGCAAGGAAGACTTCCCTACCTGTGGTATTAGTAACGTATCTGACAGATGCTGTAACAGCTTCTTCTGTAAAATTTGTAGCTTAAAAGGAGAGTGAATATAGAAATAGTTTATTAAGAAAAAAACTAAAATGGGATGGAAGAGTTTAGAGACAGAAGTTTCTGAAACCTGTGTTATGGTCACAGCTACAGCCACTGCCCCATGAAAATTGTTTCCTTTCTCTCTACCAGCCATATATGCCCTGTCTTTTTTGTTACTGCATCTCCTCCTGAGTTTATGCTGTCTCTTCTGACCATCTATCCAGAAAACTGCTGAGACAAATCGGAATAAATGGAAGGTCCTGGGCTACCCATTACTAATCTCCCAGGAACTTTTGCAAATAGGCTCAGCACAGGCGCAGGCCCAATTTTCAAACACAGGCACTTAAAAATTTGGCATACCCAAGCACAGGCCATTAACTGTTTTCATCTACAATCATTTATCAGTTCAGCTTCATTTGAAACATGTCTTGGACTAGCCAAAAGTTTTACAAGCTTCATCCACCCTGGATTGTGTTTTGGGAGCTCCATCTTGCAAGGGTCTGTCATGATACTCGGAGCAGACTGGCAGCCC